AACGTGATACTTGCATTAACTGAAAATCCAAGTTCGAAGTGTGTGCGCGCACATGTCAATAGACTGCCTTTGGACTGGCCATGCGCACTACTCTCGGGTAATAATGATGCTAGTGATGCAATACCTCCATCACCTTGCATCGTTTGCATTACCAATCACCTGCGAACCGCCGACCCAGCGCGGAGGTGTTCTATCGGAGTGGTGATGAAGCATTTTGGTTGAAATTTGTCGAGATGATGTAAGATTGATCAACATATCGCTTCAAAATAGATATGTTGCTGGATCTAAAATTGTTTTCAAGAGATAATGGTGCAAAATGTGCTGCCCGAGTTGACTTGCATTATTAGCATTGTGCTGTTTTGCTTGCTCTCCTTCTCTTCTCTTCCATGGAACAACAAAGTGGGGGGATCTTCTAAAAGACACCCCAGCCAGTCCTTCAAACACCGTCATTGAGTCATTGGTAAGAGATCCCCCGACCATGGGATGGGCATCGGAAATGGCAGGAGGTTCTGTCGTCAACGCCTGGCCCCTTTTCATTGGCCCCATATGGACTGCCCAGCGACCATGAAAAGTCCCAAGCTGGCGGAGCTGAGTGCGAAGTAAAGCGGCAACTGGGGGAGATGGTACCTGCCACGTGCACGGCACGATCTCCGCAAGTCTATGTCAAGGCAGCAAAGGGGACTCAAGTGCGGATGGAAACCCCTTGAGACACCCCCTATAAGTTGTGTTCATCTACTATCCCTTTACTCGAGTAGTTGTGGCTCGACCAACCCAAACAGATTCAAGAGAGAATCCCCTGAAAAAATTTAGGACTTCAAACATATCTTTGGGATCGGTCGAAACAGGTCGAAATCTGCATGCTTAGCAGTCAGCTTGCTGTTTTGCCAGGTCTTGTTGCAATGACAAAGTAGCCAGAGTGGCCACTGTTTGTACTCCCTCAGTGCGGTTTAAATGCTTCGCGGGCTGGGCTGCGTTCATGTCGAGCGTGCACCCATTCGTTTGTTTTGCAAAAGATATTCAAGATAATGCAAGTGATGCCCCTTCAAGCGCATTGCGTTTTCCGCTTCATCCAATACTGAAGAAAAAAATATGTAAACCTTGACGCGCCACATGAAAAAGGAAACCAACAATAAAACACAAAAAGTGCATCTCCTGGTAAGGCTACCGGGTAAGAGCTTTTCACGAATCCAGACCTCCAATCCCCGCTCTCCACCTGAAAGGCTCATTGATCTCCCTCAAGCCCTGGTTCGTCAACGGCTGCTCCGCTGGGCCATAGGGAGGCAGCTGATCGCAAATAAAGGAGATCCTCAGCGCTCGCAACGATCGTCCTTTTTTCTAACTGAGACCCCCGTCGCGGGACTCGTTGAGCGTTTTTCGGAGCCAACGAGTCCCGCCAAGGTGACGGGGACACGGTCGCCCGGAGGTTGGGTGACGAAACGGACGGTGACCCGTTTCACCCGTTTCTGAGCTGGCGAAACAGGAGGGTCAGGAAACAGGAGGTGACTGTCACAGTGAGTGAGCTCCGCCTCGCTCTTTCTTGTGACAGGATGAGGAGATTGGGCCATCGAGAATTATCCTGTTTGGTGTATTTTGTGTGGCCTACCTCACAAGACTTTAAGACAAACCCCCAGTCAATCACATTCATGTGTTTTCAGGAAGATCGTCCTCCACCATCTCTACCGCTTTGTTGGATCCGGGATTCCCATGGAACGAAAGATCGTTATGACAAGCGAACAGCGAACAGCGGCGCGGACCAGTCGGCTCTGGACGCTTCGGGACGGAGCTCGGCCGTCGGCCTCGGTGGGTCGCAAGCATGAAACCCATCCTAGTTGGATGGACCGGATGGTTGCTGAGGAACATGTGGTCCCCAAAAAAAATCGTCAAACCCAGTCATGTAGACAGCTTTTTGCCGACAGAGACCCCCAGAGTCGAGTCGACAGAGAGTCGAGTCGACAGACCCTGTCGACCAAGTTGCTGGACACCTCCAAAGACCACACCCCGTTGGAATTGGTCCAAGAGCTCACCCGAATCCACAGCCAAGACCAAGCAGACGAATTGGGAAGAAAACCATCTGTGTCAATTGCTTTTAAAAAGCGAGCATATCAATGATCAGTTCGGCAATTCAGGTCGTTGATTGGGTCAGAATGGGTGGGCAGGCCCACCATGCTATTTTACTGCTTTAAATCCCACACATACCCTGGTGCTTTTCCATCCTTTTTCCGGAGAAAAGCTCATGTGGAAGAACCTACTACTACTACTACTACTACTACTACTACTACTACTA